CCCAACATTGTAGCTAAATCTTGCACGTCTTTCTAGTGCTCATCATTACGGGGAACCTAGGTACGGATCAAGTCGTCCGGCTTAAGAATGGCTAACCGGTGTTCCCGTAATATTAGGATAATTGATTCGTTGAGACCCCAACAGAAACAAAATTTCATTTTCTTTGACAAACTATTTCGTGTCTGGCCATACACCCCGCTGGGTCGGCTCTCAGAAGCTCTACCACTCCTTCATTCATCCATGACAGCGCCATCTGATGGAGTCTCAGCGTATCCGATAACGGCCTAGTTCCCTGCCAAGATATCCTCTGTTGCCTTCTCCGCCAGCATCATGGTAGGCAGCACGGGGAAAGCGCCGGGGATTCTCGGGAACGCGCTCGCGTCGACAACCCTGAGGTTCTTGACGCCTCGCACACGGAATTTGGAGTCCAGCACCGCTTGGGGATCACTGTCCGCCCCGATGGCGCACGACGATGTCGCGTGGTGGCTATAAGCCTGTGTCTTGATGAGTTCCTTCTGCTCTGCATCTGTGCAGGTTTTGTTCGTGCCCGGGCAGGGGTGCAGTTCCTTCCACGGAGCCAGTGGCGCGGTGGTGCCGCTAACGCCCTTCCGCAGCACTTTGAGGGCGTCGAGGATTTCAGTGAGGTCTTCATCTCCGTGGTGCTCGAAGAAGCGGAAGTTGATGTCAGGCGTGTCCTGCGGATCTGCTGACTTTAGGCGCACGGATCCCGCCTGGCTACGCGGTGACATGTGCACCAGAGCACACTCGTACTGCGATGGGCCGTAGTCCTCTGGGAAGCCGGGCCAGAAGCCCTCAAAGCTGAATGAAGCGCACCAAGCATAGATGTTGCGCTTCGAGGTGGGGGCTGTCGGGGTCCGCAGCATGACGGTGCTGTACGCGCCCCGCGCATCCCCGGTGATGTTCCGGCTGGCAAGAGACATGATGCTCGACTCGTAGTTGTCAGCCATGTTCTCTCCGACTCCGGGAAGGTCCTTGACGACAGGGATGTTGAACTTCTTGAGCTCTGCCGCTGGCCCGATACCGCTGAGCTTGAGGATTTGTGGTGTGTTGAAAGTTCCTCCGGAGATGATGACCTCTTTCTTGGCGTAAAACCGTGCAACTGTGCCCTTGGTTTCCTTCTTGTATCTGCCGTCACCGCTGTATTGCGATTTTCCCTGCAGGACCTCGACACCGGTAGCCGTTGGCGTTGTGGCGTTTTCGGAGAACAGCACTTTGGTGACGAGGCTGTTCAGGGCCAGTGTCAGCGGGTACTTCTTGGTGTCTGCGAGCGTTGACTTGATGTAAGACGCTGGGCCCGAGCGCTCCAGCGTTGGAGTCGCGTGGAATGTCATCGCAAAGAACCCAGTGTCCTCATCACGCTTGGCATCGGGCGCGTTGATGTCTCGGTGCTGCAGAGTAGCCAGAGCCGAGTCATTCTGTCCAGTAGCAATGGCTAGCTGCTTGGCGATTTTCACCAAGTCCGAGTTGCGATCGGACGCGGTATTTGCCCAGAAGTCAGGCGCGATGGTCGAGACATAGCCATTGAAGCCGTGTCCAGGCGTTCCCTGAGGCAGGAAGGTGTTATTCTCCAACTTGATGAACAGCTGCCGCATGTGTGCCGGGTCCCAAGACTTGTCTCCGGTCAAATTAGCCTGCAGAAAGTTAGCAGTGCGTACCTACACTTGCCTGGAGGTAGGGAACATCTCACGATCTGAATCCAGTCCTCATCGTAAGGTAGGAACATAATCCCAGCGTTATGCATGGCGCAACCGCCAAGGGTACCCGCTCGGGGGTACCATATTCCCAGCTTCGTAGCCCCCGCAGGAGGGTCGAGACCGACATAATAGGAGCCATCCTTCTTTCTCCAGGTCGTCCGCTCGTACTTGTTTTCTCTGGCCTCATCATCGCTGTGCTTGACCCAGAAGTTCCAGGCCGTCTTCTCATCGTTGCACGCCTGGATGAAGTTGGGGAGAACAGAGATGTTGGGGTTGCTAGTTTGGTCATCACCTGCTTCGAGAAGAAGCACCGAGTGGCCGGCCCTCGCAAGATTTGCAGCCAGCGGCCCGCCACCAGGGCCACTACCCACTACGATATAGTCATAGGTAGCGTTGGCGGCGTAAGCAGCCGCAGCAAAGGCGGACAAGAGGAGGGCTTTCAACATCTTGACGAAGCGTCTGATGCCACCGTGACTAGGAGACCGATGCAATCCTCCAGACCCGTCTGACCGGATGCACTGGTCAATATATACAATGCGCCCCTCCTCGGTTGCACTACCGGCGAAAGCTACGGTACCGTATACAATACTGAATAGGTGCGGAGGTCAGACCCTTAAGACCCCTAGTACCATTTATATTGATTGCCATTCAATTGGGTCCCGCTGCACGTCAGATGCGTCTAGATCGATGGATGTACTAGACAGCGAACCACAACTTGGATAAATGCGGCCAAGTACACGCTATACCAAACAGCCGGTAGCCGCGGGGCCGCCTCCCTCTCTCTTGGGTTACAAGCGAGCCGCTTCTCCCGGGATAATGGGCTGCGGCTACGCCGGTAGATGACCTTGAGTCCGGGTCCTGGGTCCAGAACCGTGTCGGGTTAAGGTCCAATTGGACGAGATTTGCAGGTATCTCAAGCACTTCTACGTAATCTAGACAGGATAAGGTATCTAATGGTCGGGATAGGGGAGGGGGTCATCGACGAGCCTAAAGTTGGATGTCAGCATACAATTTCCTGAGCTGTCGGCTCATTAGCGGTCCTTGCTCTATCCCGAGTCCGGCACCTAGCAAAGCATCAAGATCGCTGCTATGGGGACATTTGACAAGTAAATGAATTTTGGGGGGTCATTCAAGTACGTACTCGAGTGCACCTTCTTCAATTACTCGGCTCCGGACCTCATGGCTAGCCGGCTCTCGACTTGTCGATGTTGTCAAGAGAAAGGGGTCAGGAGACCCTTTCCTTCCGGCACCGTAATGTCCACAAAAGCATACATTTCAAGGTGCAGCAGTGCCTCCTCAACCGGGACAGTGTAATCAGTTTGTTAAACTTCAAAGGGGGTCCATTTGACAGTGCTCAAGAGAAAAGTCAACTCTGTGACAGGCCTATTTAGAGGTCTATTGTACAGTAGGTAGGGACTATAACGGCCCACTCGAGTAGCTGTGGCCACAAAGGGGCTAAAAACGGATCCTGATCTGTGCCCACACTTCTTTTAAGGGCTGTCAGGGTGACACCGATATTGCAAACTAATAGTAACAGTCTTTGCGGACCCAGTTGGTGGCTCAAAGGCTGGGGTATACCCCTAATTGACAGGATATAGACAGCTCTGGATGAAGTCCATCGTTTGTGGATAAGTTGGCCGATCCAGGAGATTGGATGGATACCCAAGCGTTGAGACGAACTGAAGCCTGCATGCATCATTGGCAACAGACCAGAACACCAGCTACATAAGTTCACATAATGAGAAGGATTTTTAATTGTCCAAAGCATATTTGATGTTCGTGATGTAATTCTATCAAAACAAACAATGTTTACTCGAATGCTGCAGTGTTGTATTCCGACCATGTAACCGTTGTCTAGCAAGGGCTTTGAAGCAAAAAACACCAAGATTTGCTCTAAAGAATGAATGTATTCTCCTGCTCTCACTGGTAAATACAATCACAAAATATTTATTTGATCTAAATGAGCCGACCCGAAAAGTTCCCATAATTATCTCGTCCCTGTAGTTTCAAACAACACCCCCTACTATCTGAACCCAAACTAATAATATTCGCGACACGCTAGCCCCCGAATCTAGAGCAAGCTCGCCGTCTTAGGTATATTGATGGCCTGTATCATTTCATGATCATGCAATGCTGCTGTATGAGCCATTCTCGAGCGCGGCCCGGCGCGGTTGTGACATGGGCTCCAAATCCGAGTGCTCATAATGCTTCTGTCGGCGCACTTTGCTCGGACACTGCAAGTAAAAAGCAGCCATAGTAAAAAGCATGAGCAAGCTGTCAAGTACATAGGTAGGCCATTCAGTTACCGAAAGATAACCCTCTCGTCCCAAGGCGTACTCAGCCGTGCGGTATACGTTCCTCACCATGACCGCCGCAGAGGTCAAGTACAGCATGGTCAGCGTACCCTGCCACGGAATGTGTGTAACCCGGCGATTTTCGACGTGCCTGTGGAAGCGCAGGTGAAAGGCCAGAATCGTGGCTACAAATATGCCGAAAATGACGATCTGAGACACGAGACTGACGATGACGATGATCTGTCCTATCTGAACTTTACTGGCATCTTTTCCTTTGACGAGAAATCCTGCACCGCTAGCCTGTATCAGAAAGCTGAAACAGTCGCCGAGGACGAAGCGCGTTAACCAGCGTGTCGAGATGACGGAACACTCTTGGCCATTGACGACAATAATGACACGACTTAAAGTCATGTAGAGTGTTGCGGCGAAGAGAATCGGTGCTAGCGGCAGGAGAACAGACTGCAATATATAAGGGATGAGGTCGCCGGTCGCGTTGTATGCTAACGCTCGTCCAACATAGCCGACTACTTCAACTGCAGGGACCAAACATATCAGCCTGTTGGAAATACCAAGTACTGATTGAAAACTGCAAGCAACCTCGACTTACAGATTCCACCTATGACGAATGGCAAACATAACCAGTTCCTTCTGTCATCGGGATTCCATAAGCGGTATATCGGTAGGAGGACAGCCATTCCTGAAGTCGATCATCAGGACCAATATGAGACATGTTGTGGGAGCTGTTCTTGCCTGGCCTCGCCTTCGCGATTGGATCGCTTAGCCACCACTGCTCTCTGTCCTCCTGCATCGGACTGCTAGAGTGTTAGGGAAGCCCACCGCCGACGGAAGTGCTTGGCTAATAGTGGTGTATCTAGCTCGGTGCTTCTATTCTAAAGCCCAGACTCGTCGCAGAATCAAACCACAGTCGCGCTCGATTCATTCTTCCGGTACGCCACATATATTTGGAAACACTCTCTCATGTTGTTAAGATCCTAAACTGGTGTAATGGTATCATGGCGGGTCGCACTTGGTTCAGTCCAGACTGAACCAAGCTCCTCTGGGGATCGTCGTTTCGGGTTCGATTCCCGAGTTTGGGATTGCTTCTTTCTGTTGCCCACTTCTTTCCTTGCGAGAAAAATAAAACGCCTGTATTTCTTTTCTCAAACATACAGCCAGCCGGTTTTTATATATATAGCTCCTAATCTACTATATTGCCCTCATATCCGCGCAAGTCTAATCGTATCTTCGATGCTCAGAACGTAACAGGACGCTGGTAACAAGGAATGCTTCAAATACATGACCTCGGCGAACTCTATCGAGGTACCTGGATCGCCGCATCATGCCAGGTAAAGTCCGGACGCCAACCATTTATATTCGAGCCTTCTTCAGCAGAGAGGCTCAGCGGGGCAAGAGGTTGTTTTGGCAGGCTCTGCTTCAGTGGAGTCGACCCGGCCTGGAATTCTTGCTGATGAAGCTTAAAGCATCTGGAGAGGAAAGTTTTGCGATCTACTTAGGTATTCGAGTTCAGTAGTGGCACAAAACCTACGGGCTGGAAGAAAATTAGGGGGAAGTGGGGCTAACCTTTGGTATTCTCAAAGCTTATTATCAAGCCCTTGCACCCTCTACTAACCCCGCTGTCGACTATCTGGCCAAGTTCTCTCGGGTAGAGGGCTTCGGTCTTGGTGCGTGCTGGTGACATAACTGGAGCGTCCTGGAAATACAGGATCGCCTTTTTGGAATCCTTGTAATCCTCCAGGAAAGCTGAAGGTAGGAAATTTCGGATCTTGAACTTGCGGTGAGTGTAGTTTCCCCGCTGGGGGATGGCAAACTCAAATGTCGGCTCCTGAGGTGAAACTTCTCGATATGAAATCTTGAGATAGGTCTCGAGGGACATATTCTTGTCGGATTGGCCCATGTTCTCGTGAATCGACAGTATCTTGAAGACTTTGAGATGGGATAGGCCAAAAGCCTGCTTCTCGAAGCTATCACGTGCCTTAGTCGAGCTAAAAAGATACTTGGCCTCGCTCATATCCAAATCGCGAGCGGAACCATTGTGAAGTTCATGCCAGAGGTGGTGTAAGCCCCTTGGCATAACTTCTAGCCGGTAGGATCCTTCATTAGACTTAGAACTCTTGCTAGGGGATATGTCTACGTCGGGATCCGTCAACCCCCAGCATGTCTCCGGGACTGAGCCCAGGGTGGGCTGTTAGCTACACACGGGCAGGTTTTCGGTTTGAACGTACAGCTGTGTATCCATAGGCGACCGTTCGTGACCGAAGATATTTCCTCCCATTGTAATATTATCGAAGAAGAACTTATATCCATGTTCACGAGCCGGACCTGATGCTGTTGGCCGTTAAGGTAGCTTCGTAGGTGGAGGTTAGAAATGTGTACACTGGGAGCTTATCATTTATTGTGCGGTCACTCACAGCTTGACGACTGTGTTGCCATCGAAACCTTCTCCGTCCTGGATGAGGCTGTCAGCCGATACAGACCACCTCTTAGATACCCGAGATGACCTCCGAGAGTCTCCCTGTGAAGTTAATGAGTTCCTTGAGCTGTTAAAGGAGTGGCTGCTCGGAGGTATAGATCTGCATGATGCAAGGGAGACAGCGGATGCTCTATGAGATAGATCACTGTAGAATCCACTGTCAACGGTGTAGGTACGAGCAGGGTCTGAGTTTGGTAAGGTGGTCCCTGTGCCATCGACCGATTCGGTGATTGTTCTCGGGCTTTGGGCTATTAGGCCAGGCTCGGACATGAGACTGTCCAGTTCTCCGAGGATGGATGCCGAAAGTGGCCCAAGCTTTGATCCGTTTCCAGTCTCTCGGATGGGCTCCAAGGCCAAGGGCACCGCGTACATAGATTCTCGACGCCTTTGGCTAATTAGCACGTTGGGTTAGTATGTCCAGTTCTACATCCTCGCGGTTAGAAGGGACATGGGTGCAACAAACACGTCTAAGAGCACACCGATAGATCCAAGGTTGAGTATTGAATAGCAGTCGCGGACATTTTCCATACACTTATCAAGATCGAACGCATCCTCCCTTAGGAGCTCGAGGCACCATCTTGAGATAGGAACATCGACAGGACCGCAACTCTTGAGACAATCGTGAACTGCAGTTAGTTTTTCGCGAACCATCTTGAGAATCTGGCGGTTTGCCGGATCTGGCGTGCCACTTGGTCCCTGACCAGCTGGATTCTGATTAAAGGCATGATGGGTATTGATGTGAGCCTCTAGGATCTGGAGATGGTCGCACAGTTCCGAGATTTTCTTGTAATATGGCCTACGGCCCTCGGCCAGGGTGACAATTTTTCGAGTTACAGAAATGGTAGCCTGAAAGGCCTGAACCACTGCTATAACCGAAGCCGCGGCAGAGAGGCCATCCATGACGGTGCGGCTTCACACTCCTCGGTACAAAGGAGATATAACGGCTGCCGTGTCCCTCAACTAGGGACTGTCGTGATTGGCTTCATCATCGCGATGCTTGGGGTGTATGGGATAACCCAAGGAGTGTTCGGTAAAGAAAGTGGAAAAGGAATGGTCCCCAATCGTCTGAATCTAGTGTGTACCAGTTATGAGAAGGTAGAATCCGGGCGACAAGGTGAGTCCGGGCGGACTGAGGCTTCCCGAGAACGCCACACACATATGAGCTGGTACCCACCCTGCCGTCCACGATGCCCATGGTCAGAATTTGACCGAATCAGGCCCCCAGGTGCATGAAAGGGTCTCACCTGCGTGAATTTTTCACCGTCTGCAGACAATATCAAACCGTCGGTGGCTCTCGGCTAAAAATCCCACGAGGCGGTCGAAAGGCAAGTCGGCACCCGATTCTTTCCAAGGCTGTTCGAAAGGCAACCACGGATCCACGATTTTTCCTATATAAACCGAATTTGGACGAGACTAACGGTGCCTCATTCTTTTGGCTGCATACGGACCTCAGCTGGCCCAAACCCAAGAGGTTGGCGGCGAGAAAATTCAGTACTCAGCCACCGCCGTAAGTCAACGTTTACGACGATCGAGCTGAGAAACGCAGCTCCGAGCAGGGGTCCGCCAGCCTCCGGCCTAATAGTCGCGCAAAAATAATAGTTGCCTTATTAAGAAAGCTTGAGCGCTGGCCGCGGCCGATACAATGCCTAGAGCCTTGCCGTACGCCTCTGGTTCGCCTAATACGGTTCCCGGGCTGGTATATACCCTTACCCTAAACCTCTCCTCTGAGAGCACCCTTTACGAGTAACACCTTTAGCACACTGATTTATTCATGCCTTAAACACCATGGGACAAATACAGTCTTGTATGTGGGGTGATGAAGGGTTAATCTCTGAACGCACCGAAGTCAAAGTCGAGTTTGTGAGTTTTCGGCCATTTACGCAAAGTCAACAGTGACTCCACAAGGCTGACAACACTCTCACCGACCAGAATCCCAATGACAGCGAGCAAGCCGTCCTCGCAATCCTCGACCATCGTCAGCTGGACGGCTTTAAGGGCCGGGTGTGCTGGGTTGCGGCCTCGGGGTTCTTTACGACCTCATATTGCATTTTTGCTTCTAATATCATTGTCCCCGCACTGAATTACGTTTATCCTCTGCCCGGCGACTGTGCTTCTATTGCAAAGCAGCCCTTCGTAGTCAACCTAACAACTCTAGTCGGAACCGCCATAGGCATGGTCCTTTTTGGCTGGCTCGCAGACAAATATGGGAGGAAGCACGTATACGGGCTTGAGTTGGGAATCGTCATAATTGCAACTATAGGGTTGACTCAGGCATCATCAGGCTATGGATCTATGGATGTCTATGGCTGGATCGGCTTCTGGAGGTTTGTGATGGGTTTGGGATTAGGAGCCGAAGTTTGTTACATCTGCTCTCTCGCAGAATCGTCGTGATCTGGAGGCTAACGCACATTCAGTATACCCTATCTGCAGTGATCGCAGCGGAGTGGTCCTCTACCAAGACTCGCGGCCGGATGATGGCCTCGGTCTTCCTTATGCAAGCCGTCGGACAGGTCGCGGCGTACGCAGTCACCCTCGCTGTTTTAGCGGGCCTGGGCCCTCGGCTTGGCCTAAACCCAGATACGACGGATCCTGAGGTAGCCAAGAGAGCTGTGGATGCTATCTGGCGAGTCGTCATTGGGGTTGGTGCGTTCCCAGCGTTTCTGGCCTTCCTGCTGCGTAGGCTACTGCCTGAGACACCGCGCTGGCTTGCAACCCACCGCAGTGTTAACATCGCTACGGCCGAGACGGCGGGGGTGTTTCACGCCGCTGCAACCCCTATGCTTGGGTCATGGTCGGGAGGACAGCAAGAGGAGGGGGCAGGAGAAGCACATGCGGATAGTGCCAAACCACAAACGTTGTGGCGGAGCATAAAGACTTACTTCGTGGAGCTCACCGAGTACCTATCCCAAAAGAGTCGTTGGCGTTGCTTCTTCGGGGTGGTAATAGCCTGGTACTTGCTAGACCTGTGTTAGTTCCCCCCTCCAGTCTGGACTGACCATCGCAGGATATCTTGAAGATGCTGACTTCTACCCATTTTACAGCTGTATATGGCCTCGGATTAGATAATCTACAGGTAATCTCGCAGATGTATTTGTCTTCGGCGGCACCCAGCATACCATGCGACCAGACATGGATCACGGACCCCTCTCAACCCAACATCACCATCTATAACATGTTACAGGAGGATGCGATTCGCAACCTTCAAACTATCTCCACCGGCGCACTCCCCGGCAGTATTATCATTCTGCTCGCTATTGACTGTAAGTTTCGTCTTGTCCAGTCAACCCTTTCCTTTCCTTCGAATAATATAATCGTAGAGAGAGGTTCGATATTAACTCCATTTCCTGCGCAGATGTTCCTCGCGCAGCCTGGCTGGGTTGGACGTTTGTCTCCCTTGGTGGGCTGTTTGCAGTCACGGGTGGGACCTACTTCGTGTCATATATGAATGACAAGCACGCCATGACTATCGTGTTCTATGTGTTAGCCCAACTGCTACTTAACTTGGGCCCCAACACCATGACTTGGATCTTGCCTGCCGAACTCTTCAAGACACAGTATCGCGGTATACTGTATGGACTGAGCGCGGCTGCCGGCAAGCTCGGAGCC